ATGGACAAGCAGCTGGTCCGCCTTCGAAAACTCATTGGAAGGTTCGTATTTTTCGTTTATTATTATTTTTACTTTCTTTTAATATTTTATATCTGAACTTGTCTTTTTTAATCTTTAGGCTGACTCTGAAGCAAAAAAATGCTCAATGACTTATTGTAGCCGCGTTTTTAACCTATTTGAGAGGCGACACCATTGTAGAAGGTATGCAATGTAATTTATTTGTTTTTGCTTTTTGTAGTTATTATGTTTTAATTTTTTATAATTTTTTATAATTATTTAATAATTAGATGCGGTGACATATTTTGTGGTGTTCATTGTTCACATTACATTCGCCTCGACCAAGATAACAAGTTTAATTTGTCCGGCTTCGCTTCAAGGTAAGGATCGTTAAAAAATTTTTTTTAAATAACTAAATAAATTTAATAAAAACTTATTTTAACGTTATTTTTATTCAGAGTCTGCGATAGGTGTTACGATGATTATATTCGTCTAAGATATAAACACCCTGAACCTTTCGTATTGAGATATTTAAGGGAGCAAGAAGAAGAAGACTCAAGGGAATATCAGGACAGCGGCTATAATACCATGTCCGATAATAGCTACGGCACTGATAAATCTAGTAATACAAGATATCCCAATAATGATAATGAAATTTTGAGAGAAAGTTAGTATCATTTATGTGAATCACGTATGACAACCTTATTTTCAACGATGTAATTTATTAACGATCATTTTACGTAACACATTCAATAGCCTCTCACGACATAAGTTCATTCCGACAGCCACTAGGTAAATTCTTAAATTCAAATTATTATGACGTAAAATTGACATCATTTATTGACTATTAGACTAATAATCTATTTATTTATTTTATTTATTTTTTCAGGTTGCAACCAACCAACTAACAACTATATAGTCCCCGAAAATTGGGCTTGGTCAACATTTTAAATGGGCTTTTTGATCAACATTCTAATAATCGATTGAGATAAACTCAATTCTTGTATTATAAACCATCATCATCGATATTCATATCAAAAAACAACCATTATTAGGTTTCAAAAAATATATTTCCTCCATTAAGTTTTCTCTAAAAATTTTTTCCTTAAAAAAAAATGCGGCGATCAATTTAAATTCTGGATTTTTAAATTAAGTCGCTTGTTAAATATGATTTTATTCAAAGAAAAAAAAAAAAACTTTTTATATATTTCTTTTTCATATCATTCAAGTATAAAAAAATTTTTTTTTCATTTTTATTTTTATCATAATGAGTTTAAGAATTTTTCTTATTTCTGCGGATTTTACAAAAAAAAAATTATTTATATAAAATTTTCTAGAAGATAAAAACAAAACAAAACAAAACAATGTTAATTAACAAAAAAAAAACACTTTAATAATTTTGTATATTAAGTGTGTTAATAAAATCGTACTACGTACGTACTTATTTAAGAAAGAAATTGAATAAAGAAATTGCATTGATGATGATTAGCATAGGAACAATAATGATCCATTATCGGAGAATGCATCATTACTAAGCATGCCAAGGGAATAAAAAGTAATGATTAAAACCCGCGATGCGGTTGGCTAAGAATATCCTTATGTAGTATTTCATTCGGTTCTAAATACGTGTGTTCACCGAAACTTTATAGGAAATGCTACACGAGGTATCTCCAATTCTGTATGGACAACGTAACATCCGTAGCATACAGTTATGGAAAAGTTTGGAGAAATTTCTCCTGACGCCATTCAAATTCCTATTCAAATCCTTATCATTAAGCGTAACTCTGCACTTCTTACCAATATGGGTTTTTGATACCAAACCTTCTTTTCAGATCTGCAAACTTTAAATCCTGTAATTTTTTTGTCTATTTAGGTTTTAATAACCCCTTCTTTTGATTAAAGATGCTCGTACCTTGCATATGCCCCGAATTCTAATTTGTGATAGCATTCAAATTAAATTTCAACGAATCAAACTTACATTCATTTACTAATATGTAAAACAAAATTATATCCGTCTTACATTCTAGTATCGGCATTATTTTTAATTTGTATTCATGTTTTGCCAAATTATGGAAACCAGATTGTTACGTACAATTTACGTATTAAAAAAAAATCAGGTTATGAAAATTACAATTGCTTGTACGTACGTATTATTAACGTTAAAAAAATCTGGTTAGGAAAATTTGTTTTTAGTTTACCGGTATATACCAAACATTTGTACAATTTATGCATTTTGATTGGTTAATAGCATGATTTTTATACTAGTATTTTTTAACAATTAACAATGTATTACAATTGTTCGTTATTATAAATTTACTTATTTGGTATTATGTATTATTAAAATGAAATTATCAGATTAGTACCGTTTAATTGGAAATTATCGTTATCAGATTTTTGATTGTAACAACGATAATTTTTTTCTTGGATGTCATCTTTTTAAAGTTTAATCTATGTAACTCAAGCAAGCTAACCCCGGATTTTTTATTTTTTTATTTTTGATATGATACACAATAATGCTGTAATGTGTAAATGTTTTCTTTTTTTTTTTTTTACCCACAGTATAATATAAACAAAAGTTAGTTGATTTATGACCGAATGATTGAATAATAATCAGTCCACTACGTATTAGCTTATAGCTCAAACGATTGAGCAATACCTGTGTCATACTATAATAACCAAGCCACTATTATTTATAGTGCGTATGAGTTTTATAACTGGTGATTTTTCTTACCGATACTTTTAAGGTAACTTGATATTTTCAATATCCATCTTTGTATTGCAATCCCGATACAACTATAGTGCCATGAGAAAAAAAATATTTTAATAATCGTGTTATTGTTATATTTTGATTGTAAATATGTACATACAATTTTTTTTCCAAATCATTCTAAATAACGATAATCTCCTCCTATAATCAGACCAATTCCCACCATATGCATCCGGCTTATTCCCGAAATAGCTACGATGAACTATATCCTCTTTTATAATATATTGAAATGACTCTAAACATTTATCATCATTAGCATCCATGTGAAGAAATCTGCAAAATATTGTGGAAATACTGTGGAAATACTGTGGAGTAGCATTTTACGTCACGCCTTAGTGGATCTGAAAAACTTTTTCTCTAAAAAAAAAAAAAAATTTTTTTTGAGATCTACTTAAAAAAGTATATTTTTGGCATACTTTGAATATCCAGAATCATGTATATATTTTTGGCATACTTGAATATCCAGAATCATGTTGATCCATCTCGCCCGATGCAATGTGAAAGATTAACGTGCACTGTGTTCATTCCATACACATCCGTACACACACGTTCGTACGTACATGCAATTTATTTGACGCACAAAGAGTGCTGTAAGCGGGCGTCACTTTTTTTTTAGTATACGTATTGATGTACTCTACTTGTTTTTCTTTGTTTATAGGTGCGCGAAAAGCATGTAATTCATACTTGAATTTTTCACACTGGTACAATGCTTATTATCCATGATTCTTTTTTTCTAACCTCCATTTTTGTTATCAGTAAAGACCCTTAATGGATCTAAATTCTGTATTGTCGGTTACGAGAATTTGGGGTAAGATTTTTCCATCTTTATCACTCAATTTGTTACACAGATCAGGAGAATAAAATTTTATCATAATCAATGCATATGTAAGTAAATTTTTTTGCATTTAAAAACTGAAATTTAATTTGTAGTTGCTAAAAATAAAACCAAAGTTAAAATTAAACTTTATTAATTCTTTTTTACGATTTGTATTGTATTGTTTTGTTTTGCATAATAATGCTTTTTTTGTCCAATAATAACGGCTCTTAGTTTTGGTTAGTTTTGATTAGTTGATTAGATACCGCATATTATTAACGAATTCTGTAATGCAATAATATGCAAAAAGTGCAAACTATTAAAAAAATTATTAAATTATTAAATTTTGATTTAATTATTTTTGTTTTTATATATAAAATAAATTTTTTAAAATGCTATAAGATATATTTTATTATTTTTACTATTATAAACTATTTTAATCTATACAATATATAGAATTGGTATTACAAATTGTTTAAATTTTTTAAAAATCTTTTTTTACTAAATTTAAAATAAGATCAAGATTATTTTTTATTTAAAACACAAATTTAATTGTATTAATAAATCTTGTAGTATATTTTTTAAATTTATTATTTTTTTTAAAATTAGTATTTGTTTTTATTTTTATTAATATTTTGTATTAAGAATTCACTAAAAGTTCTTTTGGCCAGAGTTAAATTACAAAAATTTTTACAAAAATAAAACATAGATTATTAGAAATTATCTAAACTAGAAATTTTAATTTATTTGTAATTTAAACCTATTAGAATAGTTAAAATTTATCTAAATTTGATAATATTAAATATTATTAATTAATAGTATATTTAATTTATATAATAGTTTATAAAGATATTTTTTTAATTGTTTTTTCAAAAAATAGATAAGTATTATTATTATATTGTTAATCAAATAAATTACAGAGACAACTATTCCTTAAACTATATAGTATATATATTTGTATCTTAAATTTTTAAAAATCTATTATTTAAAATTTTATTAGGTATTGTCTTCTACTTTCTAAGCTAAAATAAAAATATTCTATATGTTGAATACTATAAATATCTATTTTATATTTTTTTTAATTACTTTTTATTTAGAAGTAACAGGACTTATATCAACAGAAAGATATAATTTTCTATACTATATTTCATGCGAGTAAAGATCAACTCAAGTTAAATTCAAAAAACAGCTCACTTAGCAGCAATTGGCTTTATATTGGATCCTCAACTTTCTGAAGATATGAACCCTCCAATCCTTAGCCCTAACAGCTATATCACTTCATCAAAAGAGCCAAATTAATAAAAGCATAAACACAAAAGAAAAATAAAACAAAGGTATAGGAAATACGATAAAAGATACAAACAAGAAAAAGAAAAGAAGAGAGTAAAGAAATATCGAAAAAAAACAAAAAAAAGAAAATTTGTCTATTCTAATGATCACTATTATAAATCTGTAAAAAACTTGTAAAAATTACGTATTACTAAATAAAATAGTCTCTACTTTAACTTTATCTAAATAGTATATAGAAGCTCAAAACCAGTAGAAAAATACTTCTTTGACTATATAATGTAGGGAGTTGATACTTGATTCTAGTTTTGGAATATTGTTTATCAGCTTGTTGTATTCAAGGTACATGTCTTGACATGTTTGTTATCCTGTTGTACCAATTTAGCAAGTAAACAATACTGACTGTTTTGGTGTATATGATGTTGATTTTTTGGAGGAGGTATCCACTTTTTATAAAAAATTCTTGAAAAAAGTGATAGGCCAATGAGAGTATATGAGTTTCTTCTTGTAAAAGTTATAGTTATATAGTCCAGTTTCTTGGTTTTTACTTAGTATTTCTGTTTAGAGACCCACAGTGATGTTGTTTCTTTTGGTTTAGATGTCAGAGTTCACTAAAAGCTTGATCTAAAGGCACAGCCCACTTGTTGTTTATATGCCCGCTTCTCAGTATTTCACATATATAAAGTTTCATCAACAGCAAGTATGTTTATATAGTACTAGAAATATTTAAGTATCTACTTTGTTGCTTTTCTATATTATTTTTCTGTAGTTCAGTTTATTTTGTTGTTGACCAAGGGATCATCA